CTTTTCTCCATGCTGAACAAGCCCAGCTCCCTCAGCCTGTCAGGAGCAAAAAATGCATTTAAGTGTAAGAGGCGACATAAGAAAAAGTCACATTGAAACCACCAGCATTAGAAAGGTTCCAATGACTAGGAGAAAAGTCAAAAATAAATAAATATGCTTCACACTGAGGAACTGTGGGATCACAGTGTCTGACATGCCTAACAAACCATTTATTTTCATGATTTGCATTACGATGTCAATACACAAGGCAAACACTGAAGAAAACACATTCATCACAATCACAAATAAAACTCTCAGAAGCTCAAGTAATTGTTCTCTGCTTTGTTATCAGAGAGTGAAAATCAATCATGGTTTTCCAAATAACAGCCCTGCTAGACCAAAAAAAGCACAGAAAAAGCAGAAAGCAGCACCCTGGAGGAAAACTTTTCCAAGTGCTATCTTATGAAAGTCACAAAAACAACCTCATATAACTTTCATCTGGAGAAAAGGAAATAAAGAAACGAACAGAAGTATCAAGTTCCCTATTGGTTTATTTCATTGGTTAATATTCAATCTGTGTCACATGTAACACATAACCATGTAATTTTAATTCCAGAATGTCGGCATTATATTTAGAATCCCCCAGAGGACTATGCATGAGAACCAATTTTCTAAGAAGGAACATTACCAACCTTCCAAGGCAGCATCAGGAAGACAAAGCACAAAGCAATTACTGGCATGTGTAGCACTGCTGGAAACACCTGCCATTTATTTCCCAATCAGAAATAAAGGCATGCATACAACTCCCATAAACATCAAATAAAAAGAAATAATGTCACCGTACATTGTTTCATCTGATGCTTGGCTACATTCTTGGACAGCTGCTTCCACTGTGGACAGTTCAATCATATTAGTTGACACTGGAAAGAAAATTTCCAAGAGTTAAAAGTGCAGCATATGGAGAGTGGTAAGAAAGCGTGGGGGTCTCAAATACTTTATAAGAAATGGTTGAGTCTTCTCTACTACACAAAAAAGCATATTTTCAAAAAGGTAACAGCACACAGGATGGATCACTTAGTATTCTTACCAGTAGGATGCATCTCAAGCAAAAAATTAACCCACACTCATATTGTGCCCACCATTAATTCACTAAACACGGACAGCAAGACAATTATAGCTTATGCAAAGCTGCCAAATATACTACAAATGTGTTAGATGAGAACTTTCACATTCTGAAGGTTAATTTTATTCCAGAACATTATCACACAGATTGCTGTCATATATAAGTATTCAAACAGCTTAGCACAATCTTGGAGACAGGCACATTGTTGCCTTCATAGATGTTAAACTGATAATTGAAACCCAAAAACATTTCCAAACGCTGACGTCTTGTTGAATTTGAGAAGGACACCAAGGCATGGATTCACAAAAGGATTTGGTCAGTGCTGCCAAGCCTGACTGCTGGAGTTGCTGACTCAGGAAACAAAATCACACCTCATGTAAGTCAGTGCTGAAGTGCAGAGCAGGAGGGGCACCAGGTGAGCCAGCAAGAATCAGGGGGGATATCAGCACATCCAAATTGTGGTCTCTAGCAACTCATGGTCATTAGCTGGACAACGCTGGCATTTATTGCACAAAATCCCACCTTGTACAAAGACCAGCATTAGCAAAAACACCAACCACATTGGTACTACATTGGCCCTGGAGCTTCTTGTACTGATTTAGAACTGCTCAAAAATGTGCACATGTGAATTTGTACCAGCAGGCTTCACACTAGGTGAGGACCAGCTCTTCAAACTGCTTTGGCTCCCTATCTGATCAGCTGTGTTTTCCAATGGCTAGTGTAAGAACGTAAAGTTATAACTTCTGTTGTTGCTACTCTATAGATAAAGCAATCAAATGCCCACATTTCATTTAACCTGCTTTAAATAGGAGAGCTGAGAATGTTTCCCGAACTCATATAAGGCCTAACGTTTATATGGGATCGAATCTCCTCAGCCAAAAAACTGGTCAGGTTTTCTGGATCTCATGAGCTCAGATTATTGAACACATGTGCATGTTAGGCATCAGTGCCACCTCCTTCAGCCATGCTCTTTAAGTAAGGATGTGACAACCTCTGTGTTTTGTGGCCCACAATTAGGGACACTGTGTCTGAGGACACACAGTCCAGACTAAGCAGGAAATGGCACCCAAAGAAAAAACTCCTGCCAGGATGACAGAGTTTCAGACATGCTCAGAATTACAGGAGTTGTGGGAATGCTACCAGCAATAGTTCAACTCATAGAGTGTCTCATGCATAAAGAGGGTTTCCCAGGAGTTTTCTGGATTCACTTTTGGACTCAGCCATTTATGATATCTGATGCATTTTCATACATCAAGGATGTACAGCTCATCCATTGCTGTAGTGCCCCAACTGTTAGCAGCACCTTCAGCCCAACATTACTGCAAGATCAGTCAGCATAACAGAACATCAGCACCTGCCTTGAGCAAACAGAGAACATTCAGGTGCTGTTCAGAAGATGCTGAACAGAGATTCAGGTGCTGTTATCTCCTTCCATAGTTGCTTTAAGCACATGTACTGGATTGTTACAGCACTCCTACCTGCCTCTCCACCTGAATGCAAGTGCAGTGACCTCTGGTCAAAGGGAGGTAACTGTTCTCACAGATACAGCGAGGCTCTGAAAATTACAGCTGTCAACAACATTAATATTTCTCTGGACCTGGGCTACAGAATAACAAGTGAACTAACTTCTTGCTATTTCTTGGGTTTATTTGAGTGTTTTAGATGACAGTTTCATATACAAAGATGCCCACGCAAACTCAGCTAGGAGCTTTTAGTAGCTGGCAGTGAAGAATTTCACTACTCTTGGAATCCAAAAGTCAGGAGCTACCAACTTGCCAACTTTTCAAACAGCAAAGTGACACTGACTTTTGCTGACATTACAAACTTCAGTATTTAACAAAACAAAATGTCAACAAATACATCTATCTTGATCAACCTCCTAGACCAGAGTGACACTGTAGTGCGTAAGTTGTCAGTAATTCTGTCTAAATAACATTGTAAGTGCAAGATAATCTTAGCAAGCTTAGGAAAAAAGTGTTTACTTACAAGGCTGTTTTTCAACAGCATCGATGATTCTGTCAATTACGTCTTCAAACTCTTCTTCATTGAGGGACTGAAGAGTTTCAGTGAGATATTTTACAGCTTCCCTAATGTCAACAAAGAAAGTTAGCTCAAGAAGCAATTAACATTCAGTAAAGTTCATATGAACTGTGTCAGTTTTGGCAGATGTGCATACAATCACTAAATGCCCTGTGATTAAAAAAGTAGAAACTATTAGTACTGATTTTTTTTTAAAACTTGCGCCCACTGCCTCTTGTCCTGTCACAGTGTGCTGTTAAGAAGTCCCTCCTCCTTCTTCCTAATTACCTTTGAACAAGATTGGGGTTAAATTTCCCTGAGCCTTTCCTTCTTGAGGCTGAACAAACCCAAATCCTTAGCATTTTTCCACATGTCGAGGTCAGGCTGGACAGAATTGAGCACCTGATGGAGCTGTTGGAGTCCCTGTTCATTGCAGGGGAATTGGACCACATGACCTTTAAGGATCCATTTCGACTCAAACAATTCCACGACTCTAAATTCTCCAACTTTGTAATCACCTTGGTGGTCTTCCACAGAGCCCTCCCCCATTTTTCAATATCTCTTTTGAACCAAGGAGACCAAAACCAGAGCTTTTTTTGCTGCCTCTCACACCTTCTCTGTGCTGTGGCTCCTTCTCTCCACAAGTCCCTTTTGGACAGCTAGATCACCTCCATCTTCCATCCCAAGGGCTGAACAGAGCTGGCTCATCCCTCAGGTACTGCAAGCCCACGCTAGCCTCAACTGCCTTCTGCAGGATTCACTCCACTTTATCAGTAGCTGTGATGCTGGAGTTATTGTACAATCACAGAATCATTTAATGTTGGAAAAGACCTCTAAGATCCCCAAGCCCAACCTATCCTCACCGTGTCCATTAAGGCACGTACGTCCCTCAGTATCACACATTCTAAATTAAATGAGAATTACAAATCCACTTCTTCCCTCATCCTTAAATACACTCTTGCAGTTAAAGATAACGATTTTCTTATTACCATCCTCTGCCAGACAATCAAACTGGCTCTCGGTTAACGGCCCGACCTTCGCATTGCTGTTTAACAGCAGGCTCGGGGCTCGGTCTCCTAACGAAAGAGCCAGGACCTCGTTTAAAACAATCACAATCTATTCACATCAGATACAAAGCAGAGCTGATACTATGCAGAATCCTCAAAGGCGAAATTCGAGTATCGACCCAACAACGCGGCAGCTCATCGGGGAGGGGACGGAGGAGAGCTTTTAGGCAGCTTTTGGCGCTCCCTAGACCCGAGCGACGGGCGGAGGTGGACGGAAGAGGCCCACGGCAGGGCAGGAGGCGTTCGGGCAGCCCGAGAGGAGCCTCCGAGCCCGGCCGAGGCCTGCAGCCGCCTCCGCGCCCGCCCCGCGCCCCGCTACTCACGCCCGCAGCATCAGCCCCCGCGCCCGGAACGCGCAGCCCAGGCGGCGCCGCAGCCGCTCCGGCTCCATGGCTGCCGCTTGGCGCCCAGCAGCGCCGCGCCGCCCCGCCGCCCCGGCCCTGCCCCGGGGTGGGAGGAGGCCGCGGGCCGGCCGGGATGCCGAGTGCAGCTGCAGCTCTCGCGCTCCATCGCTCGACTCTTAATTTCTCCTCTCTCTCGGATCGGTTGGTCTAAGTTTCGTCAGGCCTGGGTCGCAGCTGTCAGCAGTGTGCTGGAATTGGGAGGTCTGTTGCTCATCACCTTTAGTAAAGGAAGGGCACGCGGTGATCCTGGTCTGTTTTCTTCTGCTCTGACATCATATCTGTCCCATCCAAACATCGTCTTCACCAATGTCAGTTGTCCCCAAATTTTGTATAAGTCAAACTCGCTCAGAGTTCGCACTAAACCACAACACAAAATCCAAACGCTCCTTGAACACCTCCAGCGTCGGTGACTCCACCACCTCCCTGGGCCGCCCATTCCAGTGGGCTCCTCACCACCCTCACTGTAAAAGATTTGTATTGATCTGCACCCACAGCTTCACGTTACAGCAGCTCCATGCTGAAGAGGAGCATTGACGACGCGTGAAGATGAACTCAAAGTTCTTCAGTTCATCGCCCTGCAGCAGTGGCTGTCAATGTTCCAGCATCTTTAAAGATGAATCAGGTTGGATAAAAGATTTCTTCTCCAAAAGAGCAGTGCTGCAGTGGCACAGCTGCCTGGCAGTGGTGGGTCACCTTCCCTGGAGGTGTTACAGAGCTGTGGAGATGTGGCACTGAGGGATGTGGGCAGTGGGCACAGTCGGGTGGGCTGGGGTTGGGGTTTGGGAGCTCCAACCTGAGCGATTCTGTGATTCTATAAATGCCCCCACGACTGACTTTTCACACAGGCAGGGAATTACACTCTTTTTTTTCCTTTGAGCTTGAGCATCTGAAGTCTGTCACAGCATACTAAGTCCTGGTACAAAGCACAGTAAATGCACTGCACCTCTTGCAGTTCCAGTCCTGTGGGGCAGCTGCCTCCTCTCCAGCCAAAAAACGACTGATACTTCATCGAAATCCTCCCAGCCTCATCTACTAAAGTACGGCCTTTGTTTCACAGAAGGCTCAAAAAGTAACTGAAAGAAAGATCCTCAATCAAAACACTTTGGGGATATAAAGCCAGATTGAAAATGTCAGCTTATTTTCTGTAGTCCATTCTCAACTGCATCATTTATAATCAATTCCCCTCATCTGGAGGAAGCTCATGGGCGAAGCTGAATCTATCTACTCTCTTTAGATATAAAGCTACCATCTGACAGGTCTCAGCTATTTTGGCAGGAAACACGATCCATTTTTCATCTCAGATAGGTGTGAATTATGAACCTTATGTAAGTTCTTCTATTTGCTAAGATTACTGCCTTTCCTTCTTAAAAAAATAAAAAATAAAATAATCTGATTTTGCCAATGTCTCACCCAGAGAAGGAAGGTAGCCCTCTTCTAACAGAAGAAATATTAATTTCTTTTAAAACACATGACCAAACCAGGAACACAGAGAAAATTCCTGCGGCACCCTGCAGTGCTTGGGGTTCTGGTAGGTTGCCTGGAGCCTCCCACCAGAGATATAAAAGTATTCCAGTGTGAGCTACAGACTTCTGTTCCCAGAACCATCTTTTTCATGCTCTGGAAGCCAGGCCCAGCTCTTCGCCTCCAGTTTGCAATGACTCTTGACATGAGTACTATAGCATCAGCACACATGGCTTGAGAGGAGGGAGCTGACTGAGACAGTCTGATGGTTCGTGATCAATTAAGCTCCAGGAGGGAAGGTTTAGATTGAGCGTCAGGGGGAAGTTGTGTGCTGTGAGAGTGGTGAGGTGCTGGAACAGCTGCCCAGAGAGGCTGTGATGCCCCGTCCATCCGTGGAGGTGTTGAAGGCCAGGTTGGATGGGGCCCTGGGCAGCCTGGGCTGCTGTGAAATGTGGAGGTTGGTGGCTTTGCCTATGGCGGGGGGCTGAGACTTGACGATCCTTGGGGTCCCTTCCCAACCCAAGCCATTCTATGATTCCATGATCACACAGCACATCTGCCTAGAGCCAAAGATAGATGGGTGGAATTGTTGTTATACCAAACATGACAGATTATCTCGTTTTTGACCAGTACTCCATGGTCAAAAAACATGAGCTGCTTCATACTGCCCAAAGTATCTTTCTGAGATCACATCATAGCTCTACTTGACTTACAGATGTGTTTCTCTATCAAATGTTTCCTTCCTGTGCTTTAATCATCATCCCAGTGCATCATTCTTACTTTTATTAATTTTAACAACCGTTGACAGTTAATGTCCTCCCTTATTGATCACTTCTGATCAGGAAATGTGTCTCACTTTGTGTCCTTTTACAGATGTTCAAATATATGTTTCTCAGAAATTCTACACTGCTACTCGTGAAGAGCTGTACCTGGATTATTTCAAATTCCATTCATTCCAAATGGATCCACTCTTTGGCTGAAACTCACTGGGTTGTTGACTGAACAGTGCAGGAGCTAAAATGGGAATGAATGCATATCTCAGCCTGCTGCTCAAGGGCAAGCCAATAGGGAGGAGTGTGTGTTGGGGGGGGTTGAAGGGTAGTGACCACTCAGAGAAAAACTGTAGTTGGAATCATGATGGGAGATGACATGTTCAATGTCAGGCTGGTTGGGGCTCTGAGCACCTGATGGAGCTGTAGATGTCCATGTTCATTGCAGGGGAATTGGAACAGATGGCCTCAATATGTCCCGTCCAACTCAAATGATTCCCTGATGAGTTCACAGTGAGCTTGCAGCACCAGCTCCATGCAGTTAAGTTCAGCAGTGGCCCCAACATGCAGATCCTGCACAGCAGCCCTGGGATCCCCCTGCAGTGCTCTGCCACCTGTGGTTGGAAGCTTCATCTGCTTTAGAGCTGAAGATCAGACGGTAGCAATTCACAGAATAGCCCTCACTAAGGTCAGTGGTTTGAAATGCTACACAATTGTTTTTCTATCAGAAGTATTTCGCAGCTGCTGTTTGGCAGGAGCCAGACAAGCAAGTTTCTGAGAATCACAGAATGGCCCAAGTTGGAAGGGACCTCAAAGATCACGAAGCTCCAACTCCCCTGTGCCATGCAGGGCCACCAACCTCCACATTTCACAGCAGCCCAGGCTGCCCAGGGCCCCATCCAACCTGGCCTTCAACACCTCCACGGATGGACGGGGCATCACAGCCTCTCTGGGCAGCTGTTCCAGCACCTCACCACTCTCACAGCACACAACTTCCCCCTGACATCCAACCTCCATCTGCCCTCCCTCAACTTCAAGCCATTTCCCCTTGTCCTGCTGTCATCTCCCCTTTCCAAGAGCTGACTCCCCTCCTGTCTGTAGGTTCTCTTTAGGTACTGCAGGCTGCAATGAGGTCACCCCGCAGCCTTCTTTTCTCCAGGCTGAACAAGCCAAGTTTCACTATGGTTGTCCTAGGCCACGTCCCACGTTGAGCTCTGCCTCAACACAAGCCTCCCTTCCGACTCCTGCACTGGCTTTATGTTCAGGTATCCTACTCTCGGCACCTTCCCGTGCTTTTACCGTCAGGTTTCAGGCCTCAAATCCATCTCTCCGTGCCCCTCACCAGACACATACGGCTGTGCACCCTCTCTGACAGGTCCCGTTCCGGGAGAGCCGCGAACAGCCAGCTAAGCACAGCCCCGCCGCCAGCCTGCCCCGCCTGCAGCGCCGGAGCACAGGGCAGAGGGCAGCCCGCCGCCGCCCCACCCTTTGGACCCTCCTCGCTTCCCGTCCGCCCGAGGGGAGCGAGCGGCGCCGAGCCGCAGCCTCTCCTAGAGGAGACGTTGGCGGGGTGCGAGCGCTGAGGCACGCGAGCTGCTTCCTCCTCCTCCTCCTCCCTAAGATGGCGGCAGACTCCATGGAGCAGTTCTGCGTGGCCGAGGAGCGGAGCGGTCACTGCGCCGTGGTGGACGGCAACTTTCTCTACGTGTGGGGGGGATACGTGGTAAGGCGGGAGGAGGCGGGCGGAGGGCGCCGAGGGCGAGGGGAGAAGGGGAGGGAGGAGAGGAAAAGCGAGCGGGGGACGCGTAGCCGCGCGGCGGGGGGGCGCGCGCTCCTCACGGGGCTGAGGCGCCCCGGGGTGAGGGAGCGGCACGGAGCGGGGCTGACGGGGGACTGGCAGAAGACTGAGAGGAGGCTGCCTCGCCGCTCCGCGTCGCCCCCTCGGCCGGTGCAGCCCCTCGCGGGCCGGCGGCGCGGCGCTGTTTACCTCAGCGCGGGCGCTGATTGGCCGTTGGGGCGGCGCGCGCCGTGGGGGCGGGAGGTTCAAACGGCGGCGGCGCGCGGGGTGGGCGTTGGGCGCGGCCGTCGTGGCTGCTGTGAGGGAGGAGCCCGCCGTGCTCCTAACCGCCCTGCTGGGTTCTCACTGTAACCCGCTCAGGAAGGCTGCCCGGAGCCCGACCCTTCCTCAACCTGTGATCGACCGCTCTGGGCTAAATACCTTTCCTCCTTCCTTTCGGGCGTGTCAGCGTTAATTTGCGGATGTTTTGTTGTTTGTTTTTCTTTCTCCATCGTGTAATTTGTGCTCTTGTTGAGTCCCTGCGTTTTTTGCTTATTAGTAGTTAAGTGCTGCGTGCTTTCTTCCTTAGAAAGCAGTTCTGTTGGTTCACAGCTAAGCTGGTACCAGGCGGAAAACACACCTGCTCTTTGCCTTCAAGGCATCACTGTCAGTTCTGGTATAAACAAATCCTTGTGGTTCTTAGTTCTAAGTTAATTTAGCCTTTAAAATAAGAACGCAGTGTTGTATACAGTTCATTTTATCCATGGTGCCTGCACCCACTGGTCCTAAGATGTGCATGTTGGAAGTAGCAGTCCTGGTCTTTCTCTAGGTTAAAACATGCTGCTTCTCACTACTTGTTTTTCCCTTGTTTTTCCCAGGTTAGCTTTTAGATAAGCAAAACTGCTCTGTGTTCAAACAAAGCTATTCCTGGATGTGAAGTTTAGAAGAGATCGTATGTTGTGAGCAGGCAGCAGCACGC